TTATATATATTTATATATGTATGTATGTACAATGGAAAACATCAGGGGAGTAAGACAGGTAACATGCAACTGCAACGGGAACGGGAAATACGAGGGTTCAATGTGCGAGTTAATGCAAATGAATAACAAGACATCTTGAGGCGGTTCGTTGGGTAAACTATTTTACACCATAATGTCGCTTGATTGACACAAAGTTGCCGCGCCCAAAATGAGACAAACCACAATTACAGTTTCGGATTAATGTTTGCAATTGTAGGATCACAAATGATCATCTCATGTAGAACTAGAGCAAAGTTAAACTAACGTGAACATCAAACCATACTCCTTACAATTTCTGCACACAGGCCGTCTGTTGGATTAGCTCACGTTACAGTCAAGGCATTCAACTCATATGGCTGCTTACAGCGCCATTTGCAACCGTAACGTTAGCTAAGTGCGTGCCTCCGAATGATTAAAGTTAAACGATAAACACTTGAAACCTCAGTTTGATCATTCAGAGGTTTGGTGTTCAATAACCTTGTTGGTTGGCTAAATTTTGCATTAATATTGCAGTATGTGGCCTAGCTAACATTGATCAGCTAGCGTTAGCCAGCTAGCTAGCTTAGCAAACGGTTATAACAGACGCCATGATGTGTTGTAACATTACATTGCCGGGAGCACATTTTGATCACATAACTGTTGGTATAAGCAAATTAATATCAAATTGGACATAGATATATCTTGTGAAATCATTTAAAAATGCAGTTATGGATTTCTCACTGGAGAGTTAAGCTAGCTAGCTATCGTTAGCCGACACAATGTGAAGACGTTACCATTGCCGCTCCACACAACCGAGACACTTACACATAAAAGTTAGCTCAATTACAACATTACAAAGCTTTCACAAAGCTTATACGTACCCGGTCGCCGTAACCTTTGCCGCTATCGCTCATTTTTAGTGCCACTGAATATATTACAATGACAAATGTTATGCCGCGGTGCTAGCTAGCTAGCTGCATTCGATAGTACGTGTGTGTATGAGAGGTGGTAAACGTGAGTGCTGCAGCGGCGACTATAAACCCCCTCCCCCCTGCGCAGCATGCCTGGGATAGACAGATGCCATGAGGCCAGCTCTGTCTTTAAAAATAAACTCTTATAACTTCTTCAACGAATTGGTACTTTCAAGAGTTACTTAGGTATGTATGCACCGTCTTAATCTATATCCCAGTAACAGTTAACAGCCCACTACTGCGAAATACCATGTTTTGGGAAGTGATCAACTAATCAAGTTAGGGACTGTTCGTTACTGATGAAGGGGGAGGAGGTGGTGCAAAAAAGGGTAGACATAAAATATTTTTTTAAGCACTGGGGCGACGCTTTTTGGTCATATGGAAGGGCATACAAATTTAAATGGTTGTATTTTGTATTTATTAACAGCTGATTTTTATCGAAAACATGCCTTACAAACCCCCAAAATTGCCAAAATTACACCATTTATCCACAAACTGTACAAACAGAAGTTACCATTGAGACCGATAATTCATGTGCACATTATGTGCAACAAACACTTCTGTCAGAAAAAAAAACTAACAAAACTGAGCCTGAAATTGTGATAGTTCATCAAAATCATTTTCTCCGACATCTCATTTAAAATGTGGCCAAAAATAAACTGTTTGCACCATTTGAGGCTTTTAACGCCAGGATTTCGTTGTCAGCTTTTGACTTGCAAACAACAAAGGGTAAGTTTCAAAAATCTAAATAATTTGTGGTGGAGGGAGGGTCATGCATTTTTCCACCAGTCAGTCACTCAGGGAGGCTCGAGAAAAAAATATTTGTAGCTTTGGGGAGGGTCAAAAAAAGAAAAAACCTGAATTAAAACTGTCCCCAGATAATAAATGCAATTATCATGTTGTGTAAAATATTTTTATTTAAGGCTCAATCAAGAGAAATTTTTTAATTCAAGTTTTTCTTAAAATGGAAACTTAACTTATGGAAAAGATATTGCTACAAACCATTGCAAAGTAGCACAACATTAATATAAAAATGGGAGAAAATTTGCTCTAGTGAAAAGTTGAACTTACCTTTTTTTTTTTTTTTTTACTAGTACAAATAACTTAATCATTTGAATTACTGATTTGATCCTACTAACTTTTATATTTCTTTTCTTTTATCCACCTTGGTCTGTGTAAGCCTAACTTTTGTTTTGTTTGTTTTTGTTTCTCTTTGTGAAATCATATTATCATGTCATGTTGTGATCTATGCTTTTGTATATTATTATTTGCCTGTAATTAAAAATACAAAACAAAATCAAGTACAAGCCACATCCCAGCCACCTCCTCCACTAACAAGTAAAGAACAGTCCCTTATCTAAATCTTTTACCTTGAGGGATTTATAGAAAGCATCTGACAACATAGTCTTTTAAATTACAATACAAAGTGCCTGACTAATATTAGGCCATGTGTAAACAACCATATTGAGTGCTGCTAAGTCTTTTTGGATACAGAGAACCTAGGGGCATGTTATTTTGTAACCACTGAGACATCAAATTTGTCAAAGCCATTTATCAAGGAGTATACGGAAATCAGTGCAAATAGATAGTGATTTTTTTATGGATTTTTCATAAAATTCTTAGAAATAATTATCAATAATAACAAATAATTACTTGATATGAGATGCCTGCAATTTTATGCTTTCACATGGGAGCCAATGAGACCATGTTTTAGAGGCTAAACTAGATTTTCACAGACTGTCGGCACTAGGAATTCATGCTATTAACACCATACCACAGGGCTGTTCCTGCTACATATTCCTCACCTATTTACTATATTTCTTTGCTTTTCTTCTTTTTCCTCCTCTGCTGCAGCTCTATTTAGGCAGTGAAGAGCAGAAAATGACACCTGGTATCCTGTGGATAAGGTGAGGGTACTATGAGGTTGTTCATTCCAGTGTAAGAGCCCTCAGCTCTACTATAAGTGACTGTAAGGAGGCAGGGAAGCACCTTAATAAACCAGTGGTGGAAATAAACTTTGTGTTTGTTTGATTTAATTTGTCTGATTTCAAATCCCTGACACTTAGCAGGTTTAGTGCAGTGGAAGGGTAAAGAATTTTTTTTTTTTTTTTTTTTAGTAAAACCCTGATTCATTCCACATGGGATCTGTCATTATCACAGAGATCTGAACAGAAAAAGGACAAACCTGTCAGACTGAAATTCATTAGTACTGTATATCTTCCACCTGAAACCAATAATAGAGAGCCCATGGACCACAATGCAAAACTTTTGCAGGACAGGTGTGGGACAAAAGTTGTGTAAAATAGACTATTACTCCATTACTGTTGCTTTTTCTTTATTTAAAGTGAGCAGAAGCTGAGAAAGAGGCAGGAAGTGGAAGAAACTGATTCAGATATTTGAATTGGCAGCAGCAGGCACATCAAAACTGTCACAGCACTGATTTTAGCTACATTAGAGAAAAGCAGCTTTTAATTCTTACTACTTATTTCACCTTATTTTTATCCTAGATTAGTAGACTGAGCCAACTGCAGACAATCTTAGTACAGGCTAGAATTTGTGATAATTGATTTAAAATACTAACATAGAAAATAAAATTGCCATACAATAATGCTGCCCATTTTATCTACTTAACACCAGAGTTACAATGAACCATTTCCACATCTGACAACAGGCTATGACAGAATAACAGAATATAACACCCTGGATCCAGTTACTCATTGGCACCTGCATTGGGATGTACAGAGAAGTTGTTATCAGTCATTTTGAATGAAACAAATATTTTTTCAGACAATATATGTGTAACATCACATACCACAGTTGTATAGGACATTTATTTTATGAAGATCTAGATTACTGGGTCCATCTCGCTGGCCAATGGGAATGTAAGGATCTGGTTTGGGGATTATTGTCGGTCCACCGTCTTCAGAGAAGGCATATCTGGATTAAAAGATACATAAAGTATATGTTATTGTGACGCCCAGTAAACACACAAAACCATTAATTATGTTGCTTCAAAGAGCAGCTCACCTTCCATAATGCATGACAGAGCTGTAGTCATATGGACTATTGAGGTTGTTTGTCACCTGCTTCCTGAAGTTATGGAGGTGATCTGTCAAAACACAAACTCATATGGTGAGAAACTTTGAATGCAAACTTTGTGAATGCAGTTACATAATGTTAGATGATTTGTTTCAACCTGGCATGATGTTCTTCCATACGATTGAGACATAGTGGTCTCGGTCCGAGCGAGACTGCTCATGCACAAAGCCGAGGGCGTGCATGAACTCGTGAGCAGCCACTCCTGACCACATGCACCCTGGAGTCTGCAGTGACAGGGTCTGGCTTCCTCCAGTCTGCCCCAAGAATGACCAGCAGCTTGGAGGTACAGAACAGGATACAGCATGTGTCATCATCACCACGAAAGCATCATATACACAGTAAATTTCAGGACGTGTAAAAGCCACATGTAGCAGTCACACTCACCCATATCTAGGCTGAATATCAAGGAAGCTGATTTCATGGGTGCGTGGAACAAATTTAATACATGTTCCAGAGGCAATGTCTTGCATCCCAGTTTCTATGGTGATTCTGTCCATGTCGTCTACCTCAGGAAAAAACAAAATTTGAGTTAAACAGAAAGTACTCCCACCTCCATTGCGACACCTCTTTAAATCGGCGGATTCATACCATATAGTGGAGAGAGCATGTAGGGAACATAAACGAATCCATCAACTGATTTAGGCCACAGACAGGCGTTGCCAGGGCAGGTTATGGCACTCCGTATGTATGAGCTGGCAATATCTCCCTCTCTGAATAACAGTCCTCGAGGGGCTCGCAACCCTGATGAGAAAAACAACATTAATTAGTCAAGGGTATACATAAAACAACTTAAATCAGCCCAGGTTGATGATCATTTACAGTACTTACTGCTATTGACTGCCAGGATTTG